GATTCTTTTACACAGCCAGAAGATCGCAGTTTTATCTAAACGAAGAAAAACGCATTTCCCCTTCAACTCGATAGGAAGACTCCTTTCCGGTTTGCTTCTCAAGCAATCCTCGACAACCGATGAGACCCTTGGTACCATGCCATTGTAGTTGTTGGTAAATTTCTTTCATTCGTTATCCAGTTTTAAGTGAATTTGCTTCTCTGACGAGGCGTCCCATCTTTCTGAAGGAAAAAATTCATCTGTATGTGGAACCCGCAAGTTCCAGAAATTTGTGTTTTGGATCAATTATCTTCATATGAGTGACAGATGGATGATTCGTTGCGAACTTCTCCGGTGTTTTCAGGATGTGCAGCAAGCTTGCATCCATTACCCGCATACTGTGTGCTATACACCAAACAAAATTTCAGACAAAATTCATTTCAACAATATACATACAAATCACACAATGGAAAAAAAAAACAAAAGATCAAAGATCATACGAAGTAAAAAAGACGGACAGACAGGCAAACACACACAAACATTTAGAGACATGCAAAAAAAACCTTCAATAAATTCTCGAATATTATACAAATTAATCCACGAGAGTACAGAATATAGGGCTCAGCCAATGCAAATTGCATGATCCTGTCAAAGCAAGATCTCCACGTCCGCGTGGCAGACGGCCTTCCCTCAAGTTTTGTCTTTAAAGTATAACTTGTTCGAAAAATAACTGATTTGAAATAGAGTAAAATTGCGCGCAAAAAAAAAAAAAAAAACTCCGCAGTTGAGGCCTACCTAAAAACAAATAGCATGCAAAAAACATTATTTCGAAATCGAAACACAGGCATTTTGCCTCAAATTATTACAAGCACACCACAAAAACAATCGAAGAAGAGAAAAGTTAGCAAGAAAAAAAAAACAATGTCAACAAACATTTGAGAAAAAGATAGAATTTGAGTACCACTAACACTAGATCCTATGATTTTCAAATTTGCTGCACTGTGCTGCTCCTCAGGTACACTGAGATTGTCACTCAGGTGTTCCTGGATTTTCGTAATCCACACTTGCATCACACTGAGTATACTTATAGGGATTCCAAAACAACCAGTGGAATTCATTCTAACAAATTTGATTGCTGATATCAAAATCCCAGGGATTATAACCTGAACCATTGCCCAATTATTCCCCTAACCAATTCGATCTAAATCACTTTTGTCTGATTCAGGAACAAGCAGCAAT